CTAGCAGCAGCAATTTCCATGCAGGTGCACCTGTTTTTCTACTTATCCTTCCTTAGGTGTTGTTCTGCTTTTCGGTGCTTTGTGCTAGGAGAAAGAGCACGGTGTATGGATTGTGTGAAGTGTGCTACCTCTGGTGCTTGTGCCCTTCATAACAAAAACTATCCCCAGAAGGGGATAAACCCAGGTGATGGGTCATCCTGTAGCAAGGACAGCTGCCCAGCTTAATTTTCACTACCTTTAAGAAGAGCCCAAAAGGTGCTCTCACAAAATCCCAAACTCTTCGTTGCTGTTATCCAAGGAGGTGAAGAGCAGCCCGATGAGTCCCTTCGTGGAAGTACGTTTGCTGTTCACTACTGGGATAAAGCAGGGAAGAGCTTGTCGTACTGAGGAAAATGATCTCCCACAGCAAATGAAAATGCCAGGTCTGGATGCAGTGAAGTGGAGGGGTTTTACCAGAGAAAGTTTTGAAAACAGATGCTTCTTTAATGTTCTGATATTCAAAATTGCTTGTGAAGCCTGGTCATTCTTATCTGATTTGCTTTGTCATTCTAATTTTTAAGTTTTCTCCAAGAGAAACAGCCTATTACAGCTTTTAAGACTGTAGATAAAAGCCAATTATGTTTTCCTGTGACTATCATCATCTACATTCTCCAGTTGATTTTTCTACATAAAAAAAGGAACATAAGAGAGTTCAGAAACCTACTTATCTGAGTGGCTGAGAGAGATTGATAGGCCCTGCCTCCCTATTGTAACCTTTACAATGTGTCAGAACAATTATTCTCATGGTTCTAGAGATTTGTCTAGAATTATAGTTAATCAGCTTGCTAAAATATACTAAGATAGCACTCCAGTTTGTAGGTAACCATTTCAACAAAATTAATTCACATCTTAAATTTTTCATCCTACAGTACTAACACTTTTAAAAATATGATTAAATTTCTAATACTTTAAAAAAAAATGCACAAGAGCATTAAGCCCTTTTGTTAGTTTAGCTCTTTGGACTTCAGACCCCCACACTGTCTAATAGTGAGCACTGAAAGGGGAAACTCAGCTGCGTCGCTGGTTCAAGAAAAGCCTGACTGTGGCAGCACAAAGCATCTTTTCCTGAGACTGCCAGTGGTTTACACTAGCCACCCGTAAACCCTGCCTGCACAGGATTGGAAATCATCTTGATTAAAAGAGCTAACACCAAACAATGTGTGGAGTGGGTCCGATAACCTTCATTACCTGAGTTGAAAGCGGAGGGGAAGGCGGTGGGCTCCCACCCCAGGCTGGGGGTGCCGAGGCCGCTCACCCCTGGCAGCGCGCACAGCACCGCAGCTTTCTGCGGACATTTAAAAAGTGTCTTTTGCTTCCTCAGCTGCTCTATTCCAGGCTGGGAAGCACTGGCACCCCCTCACCTTCAGAGCTGACGATCTGAGGAAGCTAGTTATTTTCCAAAGGCAGGGAAC